GAACTCAGAAGAAATATCAAATTTGAGTATATTTCGCACTTCTCACCCTGCTATACCTCTTTTCTAGTTCTGCACGACTACAAATCGATAGAACTTGAAAAGCGAGATGTATACTTCGGGTTTGACGCTCAAGGAAAACTGTTTTCATGCTAAATATTAAACATATATAGACAAATCTAGTGGGAAAAGGCGAATCTTATCACAATTTAGAGTTTTTGACCATGATATAAACCCTCCCCCCCTCAAAATTGAACGCCACCCTATAATAGAAAGGCACCCGGAATAGAAGGCCACCCCGGACCGTTTGATTCTCTGGACATAATATAACGCCATACCAATTTCAAGGAAAAATCCGAAAAAAATTCAGACAAGACATAATATAACGCCACCAAAAAAAGACCGATTCACTGGGACATAATAGAAGGCCATGCCTTTTTATTCTGAGGGGATTTAGACATTTTCAATTATTTTTATGGCTGCCAACCGCTAGAGCTTGAAAAATTAGTCTAATGGTCAAAATTTCATGTTATGATAACGGTGTCTTCCCAAAAAGTTGTCAGAAGAAAATTCTATGTATTTAAAAAGGGTCCATTTCGGCACTGGAATGACCGTTTTTTCCCAAAAATTACGTTTTTTTTTTGGCATAACAAACTCAGAACTGTAGAGAACTCGAAATTTTGGGTAAGAAAGATGTTTCTGGCTAAATTTAAATGAATAAATATTTTATAAGAACCCTAATAATGAAGAATATGGTGCATAGAGTTGTTAGGACTATTCCAAGAATAAAAAGATTTTGAGAGCTCTCATTGTGATATTCTTAACCAGCACCTCTCAATCTACTATTACATCTGATTTTGACTCGTGAAAAAAAAAAAATTTTTTTTCATGATACCTGAGGGGGACCCCAGGCACAAAAATCATGAATATTGATTTTCGAGGAACAAAGTTGAAAAAAGTGATCAGAGACGCTCTTACTTTCTTTAAGTCAGAAAACGCTCACGCTCATGAGCGCTCATATGAGCGTGAGCGACCACCGCTCACGCTCACGTGAGCGTGAGCGAAAAACCGCTCACGCTCATGTGAGCGTGAGCGCAAAACCGCTCACGCTCATGAGCGTGAGCGTGAGCTGTACAGCCCTAGTTCGGAGCACGTTGTTGCTGCATTCACAAAACACCTCATCTCCGTCCATTGGCCCTTCTAGACCATCGCCAATATGCTAATCTATCGAAGACGACGAAGTCCGAGACAGACAAAAAAGAAGAAGGAAAACTAGTAAACAATCAAAGTGGTGGTGATTCGAATTTGCCGGGCAGTAGCGTGGGAAACTTCGACTATAAGAATCGGTTGACAACGTTACCCATGAAGGTGAGTCGGCAGTCCTTTCATTTTCGGATCGATAAACAGCAAATTCTTACAATTTCAAGAACGACTTCGCAAAAAAATATAACAGGAAATCTTATTTGATCAAGAAAATAGGTAGATTGGTTTGTAAAACAGCTTGTTTTGGAGTATCACATACTTCACTGTCGAAATTAGAATCGATGGAGACTTTAGAAAATTTAAAAGTTAACTTGTCCTCTTTTGAAATACATATGGAGCAAATTGAGCATTTTTCCTGACTTTTTATAAATTTGTTGATTACTTACAATGGATCCGTCTGTGTTAATACACGAATAGATTACTTATGCTTCGGCCAAATTCTCATTCTCGCCGCCAAACCAATAGATTTAAAATATTACGTGCCCATAGCGAGTCTGGGCCGAGATATTGGATTTTTCAGTGAATTTCCTCTGTAGAACTATACTTTCTCAGTAAAATCATATTTTCGAATTTCGACTTGAAACTTTGTACAAATGAAGGTCTCAATGAGACTAGCTTACGGTAAAAATTTCAAAATCTTTGGATGATCTTTCTTTGAGATATGAATCTTTTAAAATCTACAAAGTCTATAGAAAAACACCATGTTTTGAGAGATTCATATCTTGAAGAAAGATCACCCAAAAATCTTGAATTTTTTTCTATAAACTACAACCATTAAGATCTTCATTTGTACAAAGTTTCAGGTCGAAATTTGAAAGTGTAATTTTACTAAGAAACTGTAGTCCTACAGAGAAAGTTCACTGAAAAATCCAATATCTCGGTCCAGGTACGCTATGGTCACGTAATATTTTAAATTTAGTAGTTTGGCGATGAGAATGAAAATTTGGCCAGAATATGAGCAATCTATTCGTGTATCAGTACAGACGGTTCCATCGTTAGTACTATTTGCCGATGATTTGCTCAGGAAGATTTTAAGTGGCTATACACCAGTAGTCCTATGTACACTAAGTATTTTGAGGCCAATAACAGAGACATTCACTTTTGAACTTGCTTCTCAAATCATAGGAAATGTAGCTTCTCAAAAAAGATACTTTTTAATTAAAAATTGTGCTATGTAAATCATTTAGTAGTTATCTGTTTCCTTTAAACAACTATAGACTGCTTTTAAATAGGTATCGAAAAGTTTATGCAGATTTGTTTTTCTCAGTGAAATAGCTATTTGAAGTCTAGAATTTTTAATGTAACTATTTGAAACTGTAGTCAATAACTGTTTAAACGAAGCAGATTGCTATGAAATTATGTAAATAGTTAGTGCATACCAAAAGTAGTGAGAGTATAGATATTGGCTCAACTCCCTCGATTTAATCAAAAAAATCCTGTAGCTAATGGTTGAATTCGCAAGATATAGACAACCGATCTTAGTTGCTTGTCACGTATGGAGGTTCAGTTCCACTGTATTTTCCAATTCCCGCTCGTCTTCTTCCATCTCCCCGTAGACAGCTGTCGGCGGTTCAATTCCTGGCGCGGATTCGAGGATTCGTAAGTTTGGATTTGCTGATATGCGAGTAAAAACTTTTTACGAACTAACGTCATTCATAAGTAGGAGTCGAAAAATTGTCTGCGAATTGTCAACACTTCTTTCATTTAGTCAAGTAAATGCGTGTTCATAATGACAGTTTCTAGAACCTTGGAAAATTGTATTTTTTCTGTTTCTGAACACTGTTGGCTAGTCGATATATCATGAGTTCTTTAGCGATGCAACGGCACGGCCTATGGAGCAATTGACGTAAAGCCTATTGCTGGAGCTCTGGGAGCTGAGATCTATGGAGTCGATTTGCGTGAGGAGGTGAGTATATCGTTGTTGACTGCAATTAAGCGTGCCTGGCTCAAGCATCTGGTGGTCTTCTTTCACGATCAGAACCTTTCGTCTGCTCAATTCCTTGCTTTCGCGCGACGGCTTGGCACCCCCATCGAGTACCCCTTTGTAAAAGGCATTGACGGATTCCCGGAAATAATCTCTGTCACTAAATTAGAACACGAGCGCAGAAACTTCGGCGGTTGTTGGCATTCTGATACAACGTATTTGGAAGTGCCGCCCATGGCAACGATGCTGATCGCTCGTGAACTTCCGCCATTTGGTGGTGATACTGTTTGCCAACCAATATCTCGCCTACGACAGTCTGTCCGTCGGTCTACGACGTGTACTCGATCAGTTGATGGCAGTGAACAGTTCTGCCAAGGCAGATATCTCGCAAACAAGAGAAGATCGCATCAAATCAGACGGAACTGAAGCGGCTTGCCAAGTTTATACCGCTACTCATCCCGTGGTACGCATCCATCCTGAGACAGGAAGGAAAGCGCTTTATGTGAATGTTGGTCATACTGTGCACTTCGTTGATATGAGTGAAATAGAGAGCGCACCTCTCCTCGCCTTTCTTTTCCAACACCAAGTGAAGCCGGAATTCACCTGCCGTTTCCATTGGAAGCAAGGCTCCATCGCGCTATGGGACAATCGATGCGTGCAGCATAATCCCGTTAATGATTATCACGGCTTCCGTCGCATCATGCACCGCATTATTCTTGCTGGCGATCGGCCTTATGGGTCGATGTCATCTATGGACGAAATGCAATCATTTGGTGTGCATGAACCTCATCACGAGTAGAAATTCGCCGCCGTTTGTCTTTAAAATTCTAGTTGGTGAGCAAAATACGCATTGACAGAATCATATTTTTTGTTTGAATAACAAGTTGGAAGTTTTTCTCTCAATACAAAAATAAATATATTTGATGCAGTATTTTTTAAATGTTATTAAACAAGTAACGCTTGTTGCTACGACTCGCTTGACCCTAGACTGAAATTGATCCAATCATTATCTATTTCTTCTTTTGAAACTTCGTCTTTCAAAGCTGCCGCTGTCCAAATACGCGTACACATAAACTCTACTTTTCTCGTTGACAATTATTTGTATAAGAATTGGATCTAGCAGTTTTATATTGAGAGTCTCTAATGTGATACACTCTAGACCCCAGCCAAGTATTAAAATGTTGTAATGGCATTAAAATGCCGTAAAATAAACATAATTTTAATGGTGCGAAACTGGCACAAAAAATGCCCAAAAAATGGCTCACATGGGAACCATTAAAATGGCTATTTTTGACTAAGTGAAAATGGTTTTAAAAATGATAAAAGAATATGTACAACAGAAACCATTTTTTGGCATTATTTGGGACTGTTTCGCATCGTCAGAATTATATCCCTTTGAATGCATTTGAGTGCTATTCTATTAGATTGAAACATAAGTTCTGCACGTGTTTTTTGCTTTTTAGGCAAATTTGACGCTTTATGTCTCGTGATTGCAACGAGTTAGAGGTTTCAAATTTTTAATGTAGATATTACTCATAAAGATCTATCTTTCTTAAAAATTTCAGGCCTCTAACTCTTTCCAATCACGAGATATAAAGCCTCGAATTTGCCTAAAAGACAAAAAAAAAAGAACGTGCAGAACTTATGTTCCAATCTAACATC